CGCATGCAGCACACAACGCCCATCTGCGCCCTATGCGCCACTGTACAGTTTGCGAGCTTCGGGCAAGGGGCTGGAGATTGAAACACACAAAGACACACAGAAACAGAGACACGGACCTCTAGTCACTGGTAAGAAGCCCTTTATTCAATAGCGCCACAGAGGTTTATATACCCAACAGTCAGGTGGGCCAACAGGTGAAAACCTTATCCTCTGATCCTCAAGGCAAGGCAACACATGCTCGTGAAGCAGAGCTGGTAAACAACTTTGACACAGCTTTCAGTAACTCAAATCAGAAGGAAAGTAAAGGTCTCTATCAGGGAAGAGCAGCTGGAGGCCAGGACTCCAGATGGTCCCAACACCAGCATCTGAACCCTGCTGTGCCACGCCTAAATCTTAATAGGAAGCAAACAAGGAAGGCCTTCCTGGTGGGGGGGGGGGAGTGATGGGAAATCTCCCCTCCAGCATCCTAAGAACAAATTTCCTTCCTGTTAAGTAGCTTCTTGTCAGGATCTGTCCCCAGAATCCTGAGATTAAAATGTGCTTTGGAGGCAGCTCTTTGCAAGTCTGGTGCCAGAGATCAGTGCTGGAGAGGGTCACCAGATGTGGAAAGGAGTGTCTGGGTAACAGGCCCACAAAGAAGAAACTTATTGGGCTATAGGAATCAATGACACAGAGATGGTGCTTCTTCTTCTTCTTCTTCTTCTTCTTCTTCTTCTTCTTCTTCTTCTTCTCCTTCTCCTTCTCCTTCTCCTTCTCCTTCTCCTCCTCCTTCTCCTTCTCCTTCTTCTTCTACCTCAAGAGAGTCTTATAAGCCCAGCCCATTCCTTTGCAGTATTACATTTGCCAACTGAGATCCCAGGCTGCTGGTTTCTCTGTCCCCTCTGGTCACCGACTCTTCTCTCTACCTCACTCTCTCAACTCCACACTGTCTTTAACCTCGCTGTCCTTGTCTGACCTCTGAGCTGAATTGTGGAATTCAGCTGTGTTGTGGAAGACGGAACTCATAAAGCCCCGGGAACTACTGTGAGCAAGCTGTAATGAGTATTTCGTGGAATTTCCCTCAGGCTTGAAAAGGTAGGTTTGAGCTCCTCAAGAGCAGTGGCCGGGACACTCAAGAATCCTGTTACCAACACCGAAGGGCTTCTGAGCAAATGGAAGGAATTTAGAAAATGATTTGATCCTGGCTGATAAAGACAGCACCGCCGTGATAAGGAAGTATTAGTACCTTCCTTCCTCCGGCCTGGCCTGGCCTAGCCCAGCTTGAGAAATTATGGTTTGTAAAGTTATCCAGTAACATCTAGCATTTTCCGAGACCTCAATTAATGTTTAAAGGAACACGGCAGTGGAACCACCCAGTTGAAATGGGTCTTATGAAACAATCTTTTCTCTAAAGGACCATGGTCTTTTCCACTAATATATCCTGAATACCAAGTGTCTAGCTCTCCTTGCACAATTTCCATGCATAGGGTTCATTTTATTTTACTTTGACATTTTACAAGCAAAAAAGAAGGCAAGCCTCAGAGGGATTGTGACTTGACATTGGCTCAAATGGGTAAAGGGTACATTTATGGGGAACACACATATATTAAGCTTAGTAGTTTTCAATCACAAAGCAAAAGTTCAAAATCCATCCTTGAAATTTTTTCCATTCCATCTTTTCTCCTCCTACTATGTGTCATAAAAAGGCAGTACATGCAAACATTTATTTAGAAAATGTTGTCAATCAGAAGGCAAAAGGAAAAATTCTTTGTTTGGAATTCCAGTTTTTTTTCTCAAGAATCGTCTTCTGTTCATAAAATTCCAATCTCGGCCACCAGAGGGCAGTCAAAACATTAAAAATGAGTCCCTTTCCATGCTCAGCGTTAGACCACGCTAAATCTGGATTTGCTTTCATAGTTCAGTTCCCCATCCTGAAAATATCTGTTTCTTTCAAGTCTGAAATTAACATGTCATGCCAATTTAAAAAAATACATAACTGCTCAGAGGAGCATATGACAGAAGCTATTTTTCATATAGTGATGTTAAAATGGACCAGAGACATATGCTTCGTACTGACCTATCGGTAGAGTATAGACATGCCATGTTGAATATTCATAGTGGCATAGTCAAAAGAACTCTCCTGGGTCCAGAAATTCAGCATCTGCTCAGTTACATACCATCTGGGTTTCTCTCTAAACTGTCCAGAAAATTAGCCCCGTCGCCACCAGAATCATAAATAAGAGCTCTTTGCTCAGATAGAGTACATGAGACCCCTTCTTAACTCCCATAAGGCTTAGTTGACACTGGATTTCACTGTGGAGTGGACCCTTACTGAAGGGAAAGTTGACGGTGGCAGGCTGAAACTATTGGGTTTAAAGGAAATATCTGAAATAGAGTATTGCCCATGTAGGGATCAGACACCATGCTTGAGGGCCTAACAGGATCTCTTGCTATTCCGTCCCTTCAAACAGAGCAATAGTCTGTTGTCTTAAAGATGCTTTCTTAAAACTAAACAAAGCAGATGTTAGCCCCTGGTTGATTCTGTCTCTCTCTCTCTCCTCACCGGAGTTATCTGAGGCCACATCCTGAAGGCAATGAGTATTTCTGGACAAATTATGGTTTAATTTATATCTACCTTACCACTGACCCCTGCTCCTGAGCCCGGTTCCTCTCTGATCCTCTCACCCCTAAACCACACTTCCTTCTCTCCACCGCTACGCTGCTTCCTCTACCAGTTCAAAGTCATACACAGCTACAGACAGAAGACCAAACCAAACACTACATTATACAGAGGAGATATTTACGCCAAGACTGTAAATTTTTTGTCTCTACCTTGCCTGAAACTGTAGACATTTAAGTGGGTAGGTTTTTAAATATTATTTTTTTTATTATTTTTTATGTCTGAGTGCTCTGTATGTCTACCTGAAGGCCAGGAGAGGGTATCAGATCCCATTATAGACGGCTGTGAGCCACCATGTTGGTGCTGGGAATTGAACTCAGGTCCTCTGGAAGAGCAATCAGTGCTCTTAACCACTGAGCCATCTCTCCAGCCCCGGTTTTGTTTTGTTTTGTTTTTATGATCATTTGTTAATCTGTGATCATGAAACCAATTAAGGGGGTTACAAGTGCCATCTCAGATGGTCTCTGTGCAGTAATGCTACATGATCTGGACCAGATGCACATATGTTCTCAGTGGGTCATGGTGGCAAGCATGTTTCTTATAGATGTGACCGGAAAAGTAACAAAGGCACAGATTTAACTCCTTTATTTCTTTATTCTAGGCTAGAATCTAAATTTCATTTGGAAAAACTAAATACTTCTACTGACCTTTTGATTATCAAAATATGAAGATTTTTTTTTCCTTTAGAACAGAATTTTGGTTGATTCCTTAAACAACTAACCAAGCCTCAGGCTTCCTGCTCTGACCCTGCCAGCCGCTCTACCCTAAACTCAGTCCTTCTCATTTTAAAGTCTGCGTATGGTTGTGTAGATGCCCTTGTCTTCTGTAAACATGATGCTCTCTGTCGACTTAAGTACCCCAAATATGCCATTGCATGGCTCTTTCTAGAAAATTTCCTCAGACTCCAAGCCTAACTGCTATTGGCATCCCCCGTGGAAGCCTTGGTAGGCAATTAGCAAAGAAGACTATTCAGTGTTTCTTATCTTTTAATTACTGGGTCATTGTTCCATCTTTAGGGATATCTTTGGTTATTTTCCACCCTGGTTCCCTTCCATCTCCTCCATGAAAATATAACGCCACAGACTCAGATATGGCTCTTTGTAGCAAACCATTGTATAATTTATACAGTATCTGAGATCTTATATTCTCTCTCTCTCTCTCTCTCTCTCTCTCTCTGTCTCTGTCTCTCTCCCTTTTCTCCCCTCTCTCTCTTTCCATAAAAGCTATAGTTTTTCCTACCTGGGAGTAATTTGGCTTCTGCTGAGAATTCAGGAAAGTTTGGGAAGAAAGACCTTACTCGTACTCTTAAGACAGTTAAGAATAAACAAATCAGCTGGTTTCCCTTCGTTCCCGCTGACAGGTTTATGTCAAATGTTAGAGAGCTTAAGGAAAAAAAAAGATGACATAAACAATAAATTTCGGCTGCCTTTGACCTAGCCAAGGGTGGAGCCATTGGTAACCAACTGCAGAGGTATAAAACAGGAGCCTCGAATGCAGCCTGCAAGTCAGAGTTGGGCTGTGAGGTAGCATGGATGGACTTCAGTGGTAGAGCACTTGACCAGCACCAAGACTCTCTTATTACTTAACATACCTGGAGATCGTCCATAGCGGTTGCCTCTTCTGTTTTCAATGGAAGGTGCTTTAGCTGAGACAGGACATGTGTTTATTTTTTTCCCATTTACTAGCAGGACATTGGCTAGATTAATCTTTGGCTTATGAACTTTGATAAGAACGAGTTGAAAGCATTGACATTCTTCTCTCTACTCTTATTATTTCGAGCACTAAGATTCTCCATCGATCCTGTGCTCCTCTGCCGGCCTCTGAGAAGCTCCACACTCTCCCTGTCAACCCGGGCTCGTTTTTTGCTGAGTCAAATGCACAGCGGAGTGATGTGGTTCAGAAGTCCCTTAAGCACAAAAGACTAAAAAGAGGGATATATGGCAAGGAAGTGGAGTTAATTGGCTGTTTGAAATTGATTGTGTGTGTGTGTGTGTGTGTGTGTATTTATTTCTCATAAACCGCATATAGAATCTTCTCTCTCTGCTTGGAATTTGCAGGTAAGGGGGAGAGGACCAACTAGCTTGTGCGGAGAGGAGCGCACACTTCATGGCTCACAGGGACGTCGAACCTAGAGATCTTCAAGCTCTGCCTTCCTTTGTCTCTTGGGGCGAGCAAGGCCCACAGGACTGCCAAGGCTCACTGAGCATGTAAGAGCGATCCTTGCCTGGCTGGCTTGTGCAGGCTGCGAGCTAAATCCAACTCAGAGAGGCGGCTATAAATAGCCATTCATTGTCAGCGTGTGTGAGAAAAGACAGGAGTGAGTGCGTGCTGGTTTGATTCAGGTCCCACTAAACAACTGTGTGGACAGGACTGTAAACGACGCGGCTGGGATTGGAACAAGAGTCCGCAGGCACCGCCAGGGGCTTGACACTCACGGAAGGGAAGCTGTTCAACGCTGGACTCGCCTCTGCTATGGCAAAAATCATTTTGAGGCACCTCATAGCGACCCCAGTGCGCTATCAGGAGGAGTTTGAAGCTCGAGGCTTGGAAGACTGCAGGCTGGATCATGCGCTCTATGCGCTGCCGGGGCCAACCATCGAGGACCTGAGGAAAACCAGAGGCACGCCCCAGGCCCTTGAGGAGGACTCAGCCTCCACCGAGATGCCACCCGGACAAGGCAAATCCCGCTTCCAGATCTTGCTGGATGTGGTCCAGTTCCTGCCCGAGGACATCATCATCCAAACCTTCGAAGGCTGGCTGCTGATCAAAGCGCAGCACGGAACCAGAATGGACGAGCACGGGTTTATATCCCGGAGTTTCACCCGACAGTACAAACTGCCAGATGGTGTCCAAACCAAAGATTTGTCTGCCATCCTCTGTCACGATGGGATCTTGGTGGTGGAAGTAAAGGATCCAGTCGGGACCAAGTAAAATTGGTTCTTGTTCACACTGCAGGATGAGATGAAAGACAGCGGCATGTGCGGATGTCTAACTTTTGAGATGCTTTGCTGTAACCTTTATGAGGATTAAAAACGTATCCACAGTTCTTGGTATGTGGAGGTTGTCTTTCTTATCGGTGGTCAGAAAGGAAGGCTTTCGAATGTGTCTGAAATGATGCTACTTTTATAAGAAAATCACCAGAGAACTAGCAGATTCGAGTTTGGTCCTAGAAAGGACCCGGCATTGTTCCTTGGTGAATTTAACATTCCAGAGAGGCAACTCCTCTGATCCATGGGAAAGCAGCCATGCTAGGTAAAGAGATTCTGTTCTTACTCATTTCATGGAAGGTCTCTGTGAATTTTACTTAAAGAGGACCCTTGTTGTAAATCTAGAGTCAGGCAGCTAGAATGCAGTGCTCGGAGCTGCGTCTGAACCTAGTTAGGAGTCACTACCGTTCTTGCTCCTCCCCCAAGCATCGGAGGGACTTTTCAGTTAGCTTGGTTTTTAAAAAGTTCCAATCCAAACCTCACTCCGTTCTTAAAAACTAAATTGACGCAGGACTTTTGATCATAGGCAGCGTGTATTACTTGTGTGTTTGATTTGTTGACTTACAGTGTATATTGTCTCGTAAGTTAGGTGTAGGAGACTAAAACATTGAATTGCTGAATTTAGTAAGTCTCAGTCCTTGCTGTGACAAAGCAGAGATAGCAAGCATCACGCATCTGCTGTCTGGTGTAAAGTTTTAAATAGCCCTGCAGCCAGCGAGGACACCCGAGCTCAGGCAGCCATCTGAGTTCACACAGCGCATGCTCGTTAGGACTAGACTAGCGCCTCTGTTCTCCCACAAGGCTGCTTTGGCTCAAGCCTGAGCTGGTGGTGGTTAAGAATTCCAGCTTTGGGAGGCTCGCCTTGAACAGCTGCGCACAGGCATCTTGAGTATTTGCTATCTCATCCCGTACATTCAAAATACTCTTGTGGAGGAAGCGGCTGTTTTTATATCACTGGGCACCGGCTGTGAGCTGACGCGGAGCCCTGGGACAGTGCTAAGAATAGCAGAATGACAACCCCTATCACGGTGGAAGGCTTTGTCACTGCGCAATTCCATCCTGCCTCCCTTGGAGTCAAGTTAAAACAGGGAAGACAGGAAGTGAATCAATCAGGGAGTGAGAGTCAGTCGAAAATCAGAAATCAAACTCTGAGAAGGCCATGGCTGCTTTTTAGTAACACTGAAAGGATTTGGAAGTCATCTGTTTATTTGAAGTTCATGTCCACGGCTGACATTCAGGGTGTGAGGTCTAGGATGAGACATCACTGTTTGAGAAATTGAATCTCCCAGGTCAGCACTGTGGCACAACACTAACAGGTGGGTGTGGGTTGCCAGATCTGGGGAAAGGATTAGAAGCGGGGCACAGTCCGATCCCCACTGAACAATGTTGCCCTCAGACTAATTACATAACCAATCGTGTTTTGAGAAACTACGAACCCCTTGAGGCCTTTCATCTGGTGTTGATTTTCCTCTAGATTACACCTTCCTTCTACCCCTGAGGATTTTTTTTTTTTGCCTTCAAAAATTAAAATTCAACACATCATCCTGTTAGCCCCTTTTTTTTCTAAGATAAAATTCAAAGGCATACGTCACTATTTTAGGTTTTCAAAACTATGAAAAGTAAAATGATTTGTTGTCAACCACCATGAATATCTAGTTCACGTTCCCTTATCACTTTTGACAAAATAAGAGTTATCCTTGTATGAAATCTGACCCCTGGCTGCCTTGTCCCCACTGTCATCAACTTAAACCCATTCTCTGCGCTTCTTAACCCCATGGGCTTCATTCTCTGATGACGGCCACACTGTTCTGACTTCCAGTTGGTTTCACCCAATGAGTGAAGAAGAGACCTTGTCAGTCGTTCTCATCAACTTAGACCATGTAACCCAATATATAGACAAGTTCAACAGAACAGAATCACCATACACGGGCTGCCCCTCACCCAGTGACACCTACCGTGGAACAGAGGGGATGTAGCTAGTGCACAGGAGGAACAAGTTCGGGGCTTGCTTTTCTGCTTACTTCCACAGGGCAGCAGACGGAGACTTCGCCATGGCCAGTGTGCGCGTGCGCGCACACACACACACACACACACACACACACACACACACACAGAAGGCTCCCCAGGGCTATTCCCAGCCTTATGGGGCTCTGGGGTTATAACACCCGTCTCATCAGCTGAGGGTGTGGCTTTCTCACGTTCTTGTCCTGGGCACTACTCCATCCCTTGCTAATTCCCCTGTCTCTGCTACTCTTTCACAGATGGTGCACTCATTAAAGTTTCTTGAGAAATAGAAATCTGTATCTGGTCGGAGTCTGGTGTGCTTGGCATTTTATATGATAGGAAGGAAAAGGAGGAGGAGGAAGAGGAGGAGCAGGAGTAGAAGGTTATATTTGCAGCCAGGAAGCTTCTTGAGAATGTACTTTTAGAAAAAAGTAGAAATTCAAACAGAATTCCACAGATACCTTTTGAAATACGACCCTGCTTAACACAGTGCTTTCCCAATCATACTTATCATACTTACCACAAAAACAAAACAAAAAAAAGTGAAGTCTACTATCTTGCCTCCCAAGGATGTTTTCAGCAAACAGTTACAAAATGCTTCTTGGCCTGACCCTTCCTGGGAAGATTTTGGACATGAGGAAGGAAAGTAGCCTTGGTCAAGGACTTTGACTCTGCTTTCATCCTATCTGTTGGGCTGAAGGATCTGGTACAGTCACAGTTTCTTGTTCCAAAAACAGATTCCTGTAGATGCACAGCCTCTACTGTTGAAAATATTCTCTGGTGAGGACAGGGGTGGGAAGCGAGGACGGGGTGGGTAGCCGCATGTATGGAAGACCGATGTGTGAAGATACATAAATAGCACTCGTATGGACAATCTAAAGTGTAAACAATCACAGAGCGCAAATTAAAATTTGAGCAATTCCAGTGGCGCAGGATTCCTATTTGTTTTTATTAGGGATCCGAAATGTCCTTATCGATATTTTTATTAATGATATGAAAACTCCTGGTAGTAGAATTTAGCATGTCAAAACTTACTTTTGGAAACAAACGATTTACAACCTTAGGTTTAAAAAAAATCTTCAAGCTTGACAAAAATCCGTTTTCCACCAATCGCTGTTGTTCTCTTTAGCAGCTACTAAGTAATAAGGTGGAAAGAAGGTTAAAATATTGGTTCCCTGTATTAACTTACAGTTTATACCCTTTCTTTTCTTTCTTTCCTTTTTTTTTTTTTTGGATAGGGACTTGTTATGCATCCAGAATATTCCTCTCTCAGCCCTTGGTGACTGGGCATACAGGCATGACACAGGCATGCAGTACCAAGCTGGATTCTCACTGACTACATTTGGACAGAAAGTCTTTGTCTTAGTCAACGAGTTGGCTAGATGTTCCCACAAAACAACAGAAGTGTTTTAATCTGAAAAATAGACGGCTCCGTGTGACTGATGGTTACTTTTCCTGTGTGTTTAATGGACTGTGTTTACACAAACGCCATCCCACTAAAGGCTGCTTTCCAGCCTGAAGGACCAAGACACCAGGTATCCAGTATATGAGGCACCTCAGTCCCCATGACACCATTCTTTGTGACCTGTCGCTCAGACACTCTGTGTTCTTCATGTCTGTTTTTCTTGGTGGACAATAGAAGCAAAGATTAACATATTAAAGTCAATAAGAAAAGGTCATTTTCAGGCTTTAAAAAGAATGGGAGCCAATGTTTTTTTCATATATTTCCAGGTTATGTTGTTGTGTTCATACATTTTTGTGGCTTGTCATTATAAATGTATACAATTGTAAGTTGAAAATTAATAATTTCTCTGTATTGGATTGTTCCTTAAATTATTGTGGTAGCCTGCTTCCTTTTGGAAGCTTTAGCTTTAAATCTGTGTTAGGAGAAGTACCAGAAGTACCACTTCCTAGTACGTTAGCGCCACCATATCTTCCTGCTCTACATTCAGTGGGATAGTGCGGTTTCTGGTGCTTTCGGTTTATTTGTGTTTTATTTTTTTTCACTGCTGGGGAAATTGTACTTAACAAACACAACAAAAACCAGATGATGAAAGCTTAGAAATGTGTTACTCATCTAGGGCTCGTTTAACGTGTTTCAGTCCCATAGAGTGGAGATGTGTTCTGTTAATCTGTGTAGAAAACATAGCTAGGAAAATATTCTCAAAAACATTTGAACTACATGAAGTGGTAGGTCATATTTATTAAACTCCTGTGTGTTTTATGGCCAAGGATTTGACTCCAAGGCCAAATATCCTAGTTTGTGTGGGATGTCCCAACTTCTCTGTGAAGTCTCGTATCCTGAGAAATCCCTTAGGGTGAGCCTGGTCCACTGCCTTCCCTATATCTGCACCTCATCGAATCTTCAGAACTATAATATAATGTGTGTTGCATACATGTGTTGAGATATCACATGGTACCACATAAATAAAATAATTATGCTTAACACAGATTTTAAATGTTTCAATGAGAATGCCAACTACTCTGATTTAACCATTACATACTATGTATATATCAAATGATCACTGTGTCTCACAAATCCACACAATTAAAACATAATAATGACCAAAACAATCCCCAAGGGCCCAGCATGGGTACTATAGCTGTCCCCATTCTGCAGATGGGAAATTTAGGTGAGCAAACTGCCCAAAATTTTGCAGCCTAGAGGGTGACAAATTTGGATTTCAAATTCCTAACTGTTTAAATTTGTTTGCTTTCAAAGTGTACCTCCCTAGTTATTCTGGTCTTGGCCACGAAGCCATAGGCGTCCTTATTTTGTCCTTCTCCCTGGGATTACATTGTTCTATGGACTTCATACCAAAAAAAGCTATTTCAAATCTACTGTTGAATTAAAAAAAAAACAGTTACACAAGAAGCTGGTTATATCTCATTCAATAGCAACAGAAAACTGAAGGCACACTGAGTTTTCCAGAGCCTTGAAATGTTTATTTTGGGAAATGAAGGATGCTGACCTTGGAGAGAAAATACAGAGAAACTTTACCCTGGAAGGATCAGTGTTAAGAGGGACAGGAGATG